ATAAAAACAGTATCTATTTTTTTCCAATATCAAGTGTGTTAAATCCTTTAATTTCAGATATCATAACTTTAGCATAAAGGTAAAGCATTTAAAAAGGGAAGTGGAGTTAAAATGCATTGCATTTTATAAAGCAGGATATTTAGGTGCTGTTTCCATGAAATGGAAAAGAGACTCAAAGAGCAATTATAATTTGGGCAAAACTGATGTAAATATTTGACTTGAGGACATGCTAACTCCAGACTATTTCTTTTAATGGTTATTGTTTGTTAAGTAGACATCTAACAGGAAATTGGTTTCTGTGAGATTTACACATTTGTCCTCAGGGTGAAGTGCTTTAAAAAAAAAAAAAAAAAAAAACCTGTGGCTAATTGAAAGCCAAACTTTCTTAGACTCTAATTAAAGCTAATATCAGAATAGTGTGCTATGTGTTAAGAATCTAAGTATAGATTAAATTAGACTTCCTGTGTTATTTTTTCCTTCCATCATCCTAACCAACTGACATACTTTTTCAAGGAGTATACATGAAGGGGAAAGAATTCTCTAGTAATCACTTCTGCCTTTTTGTAAAGGCAGAAGTGATTACTAGCCCTCTTGGACCTTCTTTGCATTTTTAAATTCAGTTTGCTTGCTGTTACCACAGGAACCTCACAAATATGACTGATATTTCCTAGGAAGCTCGCTCACTTCTACACACCCACATACACAATACACAAATACATATAAACACATATGCATGACAGATGTATGTGCACAACACAGGCATATGCACAACTCAGACATATACACAACACACACACACACAGACATATACACACATTTACAGCACACATTTATACACCTACACAGAATAGTCACAGACCAACACAACACATATATCTGTAAACAACACACCCATATGCACACAACACAGGTATATACAAGCGCAGCATTGACATACAACACACATGCATTTACATAAAATACAGAACAGAAGTGTGTACACACAACACAGCACATTCATGTACACTCAACACATGCACACTCAGTATTCCATCAGGCACCTCTCCTCATCCCCTGATCTTTCTGTTCAAGCCCCACTTCCTGAGGGACCAGGTCATATCCCCTGCGGTGTGTTTGTATTCCCCACCAAGCCGCCCTCCAGTCTCCTTCATGAGATTGAAATCTTTGTCTCACTAGAGCACAAAGTCCAGAAGAACAAGAATGGACATGTAGAGTTTCCTTATCTGGCACAAAACAACTATTCCACAGGTGTTTCTTGATTCAGTGAATGGCTGAACCAATGTAGAATAAGCCCCTAAGAGGGAGAATGGAATTTGCTCAAGACAGGGTTTACTTGAATTAAATTAAAATGATAAAAGAGGTTCATTGGAAATGGGGGACAAAACATTTGGGAATGAGAACAGGATTTCCCAGCAAGCAATAAATAGCCCTGCAGGTTAGGCTAATAATTCACCACATAAGAATGTTCCCCTACTATCTGGGGGACATTCTAGCCCCAGGAAAATGATATTGGTGCTGCAAAAGATGATCACTTCAAGCCAGATGCATCTGAGTGTGAATTTAAAAAAGTAGGTAATGCACACATCTCGGATTTGATTGGGAGGGGCCATTTCAAAAAATTAGAAGGAAAGACTTTACATCTGGCAGGACCTTAGAGCACTGCTTCCCCTTGCCTCTCCCTTTCTGACAGCACACACCTCAGATAAAAGGATTACACAATCTCCCTTTGTCTCCTTCTGCTTTGAAAAAGAAGCCATTTAGTTGGAGGAGGTGGGGCAGACTGGGGGTAAGGAGATCCTTCCCTGTCCCCATTGTGGCCCCTCAACTGCATTCTCATGGGCTTCTCCCAGAACAGTCTGGAATCCACAGTTCTGCTCTTGTTGCTTCCCTGCCTTAAACTCTTCTTTACTTTCTCTTATTCTCTGCATAATAAATGACCTCAACAGACCATCAGCCCCTATCTGTCTCTCCAGCCTTGCTCAGTCACTCTGTCCCCACTTCCATGTGCTCTTTAGGATACCTCTAGAACCAGTTCTGGAATACACTTTTGCAGTTTTTATCCTCACTAACTCCAGTGCAAGTCTTGGTTAAATGTTGAAGTAAATGTTCATTTTCCCAGAATTCTTTCTGATTCTGCCTGCTTGTGTGTGTTTGTGATTACCTATATAGATACATGCCCACACAGGTACAAATAGATGTCTTATTTTTCCAAGCCATGGAGACATCCTTGTCTATATATACTTCAGATGGATTTCCTAGGAACAAGAACATTTTCTTAAATAACCATCATGTACCTGTCATAATCAGGAAATGTGATACCATTAAAAGACTATTACCCAAACTGCAATTCATACTCAAATTTCTCCCTTTGTCCAATAATGTCTTCATGCCCATTTTATCTACCCTAGTCCAAATCCAGGATCACACATTACAGTTAGCTGTCATATCCTGTTAGTTTCCTTTCATCTGAAAGTTTCTCTGCCTTCTTTGACCTTTGAAAAGCATAAGGCAGGGCCTCCCCAGTGGCACAGTGGGTTGAGCGCAGTGCCTCTGTACTGCTGGTCAATTCCCGGCCGGCCAGGGAGCTACGCACATGGCACGGCAGACCTCTCCTGTCTCGCCCGCTGCTCCCCTCAGCAATGTGTTTCAATCAGTCTGCCTGTTCTGTTCCCCGCTCTGTCTCTGGTGAATCCTCTCACCCTCCCACACCTCTGGCCTGTACCACAGCTCTTGTATAAATAAATAAAATCTTAAAAAAAAAAAAAAAAGGAAAAGCATAAGGCAGTTTTTGCCAAATGGTTTCCCATTTTGAGGTTCTACCATGCTTTCTTGTGACCCAAAAGTGACAGTATGTCCTTCTCAGTACATCATGTAGAAATATACCAGATGTCAGTTGTCCCCATGCTGGTGGCATTTGCTTTGATCTCTCCAGTAAGATGGTGTCTGCCACAATCTTTACTACACAGTGATTCTTATTTTTACCATGATAATGGCAGGGATGGGAAGGAGGAGGGGCTAGGACTTTGAAATTATGGAGTTATTCAGTTCCTCATCAAACTTTCACCCACTGGTTTGGCATCCATTTTACATCTGCTTTGTTTTTAAGGAAGCTTACTTTATACTGTTAATAAAAAAATAAAGAATATGATTATGATAATGGACTTCTTAAGCCACCTCACCTAAAATACCCACATCAAGGCAATCTCTTTCTTTATGAGGCTCTTATCACCTAAAATGGTGAGAAGTCTGATGTGAATGTCATTAGCCAAAACAAGATTTCCCATTTGCATTAACTCTATTCATGAGTTTCCTTTTCATTTCCTTTTATTTAACAATAAAAATAAAGATTGCAGGAAAGGGGCATATTTTCTATAATGAGAAAAAAGATATACAGTATTATTTCTGGATTGCCAAATGTAATATTATTGCACTCGGTCACATTATGATGGGCATTAGTAATTGTGTTTATTTTTTTCATGTTTGCTATGGAGACTCACTTAAGACTCTGAGGAGCTTCTTGCAGCTCTGGGGTCTGGGGATTGAAAATCATTTGGACTGATTAACGTCATGAGGAGAATTATGATTCAGGGTCACATCATATGGGCATCAGAAAGGTACAATATTACCATTTAAACTAGAAATGGAACTTTTCTACTTAAGTGAATCCTATTTGCAATGACAGATGGGGTGGCTCATTGTAATAACTGACAATGTAGTAATACCTGACTTTTACTCATTCATTTATTCACAAGAAAATCATGGTGTGAACCTAGGTGACCAGCATCATTCTATACAACTTCTAATCTTAACAAAGGATATATTTGAGTCTGGGTCTTTAAGCAAGATTTAGCTACAGGGAGTCTCGAGAGTTTGCTTGTAGTTTCCATTAAATGAACAATGCAGAAGCTGGAATATCCTAGACAAATAAGGCAGCATTCTTCCACCTTCTAGGAAGAGTTGACAAAGTGCTCAGTTTCAGAAACCACCAAATGGAGTGGAGAGGAAGGAAAGGGTCACCTACCCTTACCCCCCAGCTAAATCCATCAGAATCAAATACCTCTGATTGTGGAAGAGTGGCCAGCACGTCCAGTGACCTCCACCCCAGACTTCCCAGAAAAGCCCCTCTCTCCTCTGCATCACTCTTTTTTTTTAAGATTTATTTATTTGTTTGTTTGTTTGTTTGTTTATACAAGCACTGGGTATAGTCAGAAGCGCTGGAGGGTGAGAGAATTCACCAGAGATAGAGCAGGGAACAGAACAGGCAGACTGATGAAGTACACTGCTGAGGGGAGCAGCGGGCATGGCAGGAGAGGTCTGTGCGCCACGTGGGACCCTCACCTGGCATCCGGGGATCCATCCGGCACTGCAAAGGCTGCGAGCAGCTTTGCAGCCTGGCGCTCAACCGCTGCACCACCAGGGAGGCTGTGCATCACTCTTAATATTCTGACAGATGAAGTTCTCCAAAGCAAGCCAAGTCTGTGAAGTTTTACAAATATCAGTATCACAGTATTTTAGAGAAAAATTAATATCTGCTGTCCCTTTAAGACAGGTGTCAACATACTTTACATCCTATTCAACTTGCTCCTCATAATAACCTTGTGGAAAAATTAGAGTAAGAACAGTTCAGCTCAGGTAATGGTGAGGAAACTGAACCATCACAGGGAAGAGAGAGCTCAGGGGCAGGGATGGACAAGAGCTGGAATTCTGTCCTCTGTGCTCAGAGCCCACAGACCATCCTTTTGCTCACAGACCCAGTTGAGTCATTAACCTAAGCACCTTCAGATACTCTCAAATGCTTGACTGCACTTATCACAGTAGTAATTACTTGCTATTGATGCGCGTCTTTGCTTGCTATCTCTTATCCTAGAACATATAGATTATAGGGTTGAAGTGACTCTCTGGCCTGGATCCCTGCATCAACCTGGGAAGGACAGGTGAACACTTGGGTGAGTGGATGTACCACCTGTCCTGACCACAGAATCTCCCATGTCTGTTTTCAGACCTCAGCTGGCTCCCAGACATGGCCCTCTCTGTGGACTCTTCTTGGCACCGGTGGCAGTGGCGGGTCAGAGATGGCCGACCCCCATCTCCATCCGAAGTCACACCTCTGCTGTCCCCAGAGAGAGCAAGGCAGAGCTACAACTTGACACAGCAGCGGGTTGTCTTCCCCCAAAATGGTATCTTCCACCAAGAATGGGAAGAGGTCAGCAGGAGATATGCCGGCAACAGGATCTGCACCACCAAGTACACCCTCCTCACTTTTCTGCCCCAGAACCTCTTTGAGCAATTTCACAGGTATTCAGCCAACCTATCCAGACCAAACGCACTTTAACCGGATGTCTACTGCTGACTCACTCAGAGATGCTGGCCTAGTATCACCTGCCTTTTTTTTTTCTATAGATTTATTTATTTATTTATTTATTTATACAAGCACTGGGTATAATCAGAAGCACAGGAGGGTGAGAGAATTCACCAGAGCCAGAGCAGGGAGCAAAACAGGCAGACAGACGAAGTACACTGCTGAGGGGAGCAGCGGGCAGCAGGAGAGGTCTGCGCGCCATGCGGGACCCTCCTCCGTTGGCTGGGGAGCAGCTGGGGATCAAACTGGCGCTGCAGAGGCTGCAGGCAGCTTCGCAACCCAGTGCTCAACCGCTGCGCCACCGGGGAGGCCCTCACCTGCCTTTTTATCCCAGTGCATTGCCCTTACGAAGCCTTGCCATCCACATATTTATTCAATAAATAATTGTCAGAGTCCCCTGTGTCAGGCCATGTGTTGGAGCTAAAGGTACCAGAGAAAAAAAGAGACATAGACATTTTGTCCTGATTGAGTGTATTACACAGTGAAAAAGACATTCATTTTTAATAGCATGTAAATTGATATAAAATTATAACTCAGATTGACATTTCCAATGAGAAGATAATGGTGCTATTATTTGAGTGAATAATAGGGAAAAGCAGGAAGGCTTCCCCGAGGTAGTGACAGCTGAAGTATAACCTGAAAGAAGAGAATGTGTTAGCTGAGTGAAAAGGGCAGGGAAAAGTCAGGAGAATGTTCCCACAGACAGATCTTTATAAGCAAAGGTGCTGTGGCAAGAGGGAGCAAAATGCACTTGGAAAACTTAAAAATGCACTCCTTTCTTTTCATAATAATATATAAAAGATCACATTTTAATTTTAAAGTGAATAGCATCCTAAATTTTGTACTTATTGCCATAAACTACCATTTATTGAGCAACTACAATGCACCAGAACCCTCTCTTGATCCCTGATATCATCCCATGTAAGGACTGTTTCAGGTAGGTTGTAGTAACCCCACTTCACAAAAGGTGAGACAGGCTTAGAATAGCCACATCATTAGTAAACAATGGGAACTGAGTTTGAATCTGGATGGGTTATAAAGCCCTTACCACCATGTTGGGTGGCCATTCAAAAGAAATGTCACTGTAGTTGGTGAGGGCCAACAGGAGGAAAGATGGTGGAGAGGATGTTTTTCTTCTCTGTGGTTTCTGCTCACACCTTGCTTGCCTCTTCCAGGTGGGCTAACCTCTATTTCCTGTTCCTGGTGGTTCTGAACTGGGTCCCCTCCATGGAAGTCTTCCACAGGGAAATCACCATGGTACCCTTGACCATTGTCCTGTTCATCATCATGGTCAAGGATGGCATGGAGGACTTCAGGAGACACCGTTTTGATAGAGAGATAAACTGCTCCAGGATCCAGATATACGAAAGGTAAGGGAAATTGCTCATTTTGCTCTTAAAAATTGGCTATGCCAACTTATTAGCATTTTCAGAGGGTCAGTTTTGTGTCACATTATTTTCATTCAGTTCATGTAACTCAGTGGTTCTCTACTGGAGATATTTTTGGTTGCCATCCTGGGAAGGAGAACATGCCTGGTATCAAGTGGGTAAAAACCAAGGGTGATGCTAAATATTTTGTGACATACAAGACATTCCCCCACCACAGAGAATTATGATCCAGCCCAAAATGTCAATAGTGCTGAGATTAAGAACTTTAATTTATCTTGTGTAAACACTTGTGTTATTAAGCACAGGGGTGTTACATTATTAAGAATAGAGTGGAAAACTCAAAAATGAAATTCTAGAATTGACTGGATCATCTCAGGAGACCCAGTTTAGGATCAGTTTAGGGTAGCAGACAGTGGCTCCCAAAGAAGGAAATGTTTATCATTTTTAAAACATCTGAAGCTCTTGGCTAAAAGTCCTTGCTTTTAGAACATAAGCAGGTAGGTTTTAGGACCCAGGGCTGGCACACCTGTTCTTAGCTGCCAGGGTGAGAAAGGAAGATACTTGTAAGTGACGTCTATGTTCCAACAGGCGGAGTCTCCACAAGCAGGAGGAGTGGCTAGCAGGTGCACACCTGTTCTCTGCCAACTCTTTCCTCAATCTGCTTCTTCCTTAGAGTCTGTATACTGGTTTTTTAATTTTCATTTTCCTTTTGAAAGAAGAGAGAGAAACTTTCAGCAGAGATGGCAAGAAAAAGATGCCAGGTCACAGGCTCCCAGGCAGTTGAGCAATGGAGCTAATCACGGGAGAAAATTCTTTTACCAGGACCTCAGGTGCCATGCTCTGAGCATTAAAGAGACAGGATTGGGAAGAAATGAGAAAAGAAAATAGGAGAAAGCAGAAGAGGAGGGAAGACAAGAAACGAGTGGTGGTCTCCAACCTGCCCTTTGAAGGATTGTCCTACAAAGAGAATCCCAACAGGCATTATCATGGGAATCAAATCAAGACCAGCAAGTACACAGTGCTATCCTTCCTACCCAAGAACCTCTTTGAGCAGCTGCACCGCTTTGCCAATTTCTATTTCTTGGTTATTGTGATTCTGAATTTTGTCCCCGTGGTCAATGCCTTCCAGCCAGAGGTGAATACAATCCCACTCTGTATCATCCTGGCGGTCACGGCCATCAAGGATGCGTGGGAAGACTTCCGGAGGTACAAGTCCGACAAAGTGATCAATCACCAAGGGTGCCACGTCTATTGCAGGTAAAGCAAAACACTTTGGGGGAGTCTTGGTGGCCTAGCACTGATCTTTTGGTGGCACAGCTGGATGGAGTTGGGGCAAGGCACTGTTTTAACTCGGTGAAGCTTTTCGATGCCATAGAGTGAGAATTAAGGCTTTAGAACAAAAAAAAAAAAATTAAAAAAATAGAGACCGAGTGTCATGTCTTAAAATTTGTTTGTTTGTTTGTTTGGCATTTTCTTTGCTCTTTGCTCTTTCAAATGTGTTCAACATTTAAGAATTTTGCATAAATTCTCATCTTTTCATAATCCAATATGTCCACAAGTACAGTGAAGTGTGTTTGGAGACCCTGGAGGAAAGAGGTAGCCCCTGTTTTTCAGGGGAATGGTAGAGAACATTGTTGGGAAGGCAGCACTGGAGATATGCCATCTGTCTTCAACTCTCATTACTGTGTGACCATAGGCAAGTCAATGAACCTCTCTGAACCTTACCTTTTCACTGGGAAAACTGGAACCCTTCCTGGGTGATTGTGAGAATTGCACATGATAAACCTTGGAAAGTGCTGAAGTAAAATCAGTGTTCCCTATGCAAGATATAATGTCTCTGATTAAGAATGTAAAACCCGTATCAGTTCCATGATCCTAGCCTGCCCTTTAGCTACTTGCTGCTGTTGTCCAAACCAAAGCAGAAGTTCATGCTCCCAGTCTTGCCACCGTATTTAATTTTTTTTAAGATTTATTTATTTATTTATTTTTTTATTTTTTTATTTTTTTATTTTTTTATACAAGCACTGGGTACAGTCAGAAGCACGGGAGGGTGAGAGAATTCACCAGAGCCAGAGCGGGGAGCAGAGCAGGCAGAAGGACAGAAGTACACTGCTGAGGGGAGCAGCGGGTGGCAGGAGAGGTCTGCGCGCCATGTGGGACCCTCGCCCGGTGGCCTGGGATTGAACCGGCGCTGCAGAGGCTGCGGGCAGCTCCGCAACCCAGCGCTCAACCACTGTGCCACTGGGGAGGCCCATTTAATGTTATTTTATACACATTACAAAAGCTGCATTAAGCCAATGACCAAACTGGCTCACAGGGATATGGCTTTGGTCAGTAAGGGGGAAAGATAGTTGTCATGTGTCTCAGTTTTGTGACAGACACCTGTGGCCCAGAAGCAAGGGTGCCAAGTCTGGGCTTAGGAGAGGCTAGGTGTCAGTAGACTCTGGTTGGGCTGGCTGTTCGCACCCTTGGGTGACTGACTCTTTAGCAGATTAGGGTTTGACTTCCTGCCAGCACCTCTCTCAGGAGTCCCAGGCCTCTGACACTTCTTCTAAGAGGCGGGCAGGGGCCTCTTTCCCAGAGGTGTGCCACATGACCAACTTAGAGCTGGTTGAACCAAACCATACATGGAAAGTTGCCTGAAGAATTCTCCAAGGAGTACTTATGATGCAAGGGATCCATTGTCCCTGGCAGCCCTCAGAGGAATGCGTGCCCTCCCCTCCCACGGTGACCTCTGGACTCTTTTCTGGGAAGGCTTGAAACTGTAAGTCTGACAAAGCTCATCAGAAAGGGTTTCGTTTTCAGCTAGATGGAGTTGTGGTTTGACTGTGTGCTCTGGATGCCTAGCACTGAGATTAGTGTTTCCTTGCTTTTGAAGAAGGAAATTATGAAGAAGGAGGATTAACTGGTGGGATGTGATACATTTCCTTGGAGAGTGTTAAGAAAGTTGGCTCTTATTTGACCCCAACTCCTCCCATTACTTTTGTTTTCCACCTGTGCCCTTCACTGTTGTTTTCATAGCAGATATACAGCTGCATGAGACCCTGCGTCTTTGGACAGGAAGGTATGGGGCATTAGCCTGTAGTTTTTGTCTGTCATAATCCCTCTCCCCTAGTCATCCCAGAATAAGGGGGCTGTTCTTGGGGATAATAACAGTGTGATTGAAGTACAGCCTTGCCTAGGTGTTCAGTGCTGGCCTCATGAGGACCAGACTGCTGTTCTGCTCTCGAAATAGCTTTTAGGGAGTAGAAGAAAACCTAGGTGATAACAGCCTAGGAAAACGACATATTAGCCCCCTAGCTCACTGGCAGGGAAGGGGACAGGGACTTCCATGGCCATGAAATAGTAGTGACAAAGAGATGGTCTCAGAAAAAAAGATACCCATGGCCCAAAAAGAGCCTCTTCTGACCCGTAGCCCATAGGGGCTAAGAAAAGATACATAGTCAGGAAATGTGCTGATCTTTAAGCCACCACATGTTGTTCCAGACTTAACTAAGGTTGGGAAGGTTTTTTTGTGTGTGTCTAGTAACATGTCAATTTGGAAAATTTTACTTATCTAGCATAACAAAATATTTTACAGCCAGCAGATAGGTTACTGAATAAGGTAGACTGAATATAAAGAGGGAAGCAGTGTTACTCATATACTAAAAAATGACAACTGATGTTTGATGTCGGTGCTAGGAGTAATAGGGAGTAGTGGGGACCATGGCAAATTGGGAGGCCGATGCATTCATCTCAGGAGGCGGAGCTGACATGCAGGCCCAGCTGGTTACCATGTGAAAACACACACCTACTGTTGCTAGTTCTATTGATAGGCCCTAGAATTTGAGTTTTATTAGAGGAACTAGAATAACATATTTCAGTGTTGGTACCTGTTATAATTTTTTTTCAGTCTCTCTAGACCTGATTAATTTCATTTGAAACACTTGTTTTGCCTGTGAACCCCTTACTTTACAACCTTATCTTTATGACACCCTAGAACTCTGGAGTCTCCACAAGAGAATTGTTATATTCTTCTTTTGAGGTTTATTCTCAATGAGGGAACCTCTCACAGATAGGGGTGGTAAACTTGAAGCAAGAATGCAGGTCTGTGGGAAAAATAGTAATTATAATATAGTAAAAATCAAAATCAACAAGCAACTATAAACCAGAGACACACTACAGGGTCAGGGGGAGGAGGGAGTAGGATCAAAACAAAGTGGGAATTGTATGGGGACTATAACCAAAATGAAAATGCATACATTGTGCAAAAATGAAAAATGATGTAAAAAAATATAAAGTAAAATAAATAAATAAAAAGAATGCAGGTCTAGGCACCAGGAGGCTTCTACACTAAGTACAGACCACTAACTACTAATAATGGCTTAGAAAAGTCATCTCAACCCCTGGATCTCTGTTTCTACTTTGTAAAACTTGGGAGTGAGACTAGATCTTGTGCTGTGAGATGCACTAGGAAGAACTGAACCCAGAGCCCAATTAATTTGGAGAATACAGTCATGCATGACTCAGTGATGTCTTGATCAATGAATCACATATACTAAAGGGGTCCCAATAGGCCTAAGTGAGCAGTGGTCAGTACCATCCAGGCCTGTACAATTGTATACTCTCTCACATTCACGCAATGATCAGTCTCTTAATGATGCATTTCTCACAAACTTTCCCTTCCGTAAGCAACAGATGACTGTAGTGCATACTTGATGCTTCTCTTGAGTCTAACAGTGCATATGAACATTGCCAAGGTTCTGGGAGGACCCTCAGGAAGCAACCTAGCTAACTGCCAGTTGAGATGCTCTCTATCTCATGCAACAGAAAAATCTCATTGCCAACAATTTCACTATTTTTTATATTTTTTATGTATTTTTACATCATTTTTCATTTTTGCACAATGTATACATTTTCATCTTGGTTATATTCATCATACAATTCCCACCACCCTTATTTTGACCCTAATCCCTCCTCCCCTCCCCACCCCCCCAATTTCA